TTAATCATGAAGTTAAACATACAAAAAAATTTTTGTAAGCAATGATGGATGGTAGCTAGCACTGGAATCCAGGACGCGCGTTTCGTCCTATTTGAGACTGTTAGCCACTATCCATCATTGCTTACAAAAAGCTTGTGAATTAAGGCAATATCAAGGCATACTCATAGTATGCAAATATGCCAATAACAGACTGTTTAATTGCAGTCTTAAAGCTCAATGGGAAGATACAAGCCAAACAATACCAAGTGAATACAAAAGAATTATTAAAGAAAAAATAAACGATGATGAGATAAATTGAAGACGAAGAAAAGTCTTACAAACATATTATGATAACTAAGCGCATTTGAATTATAGTACAAACTAATAATTCCAGAAATAACGCAATCAGATCAAAAAGTAATACATAAGCATGTTATAACTTGTGGTGTGAGTGCCCTGTAAATGGATTACGTAATAATACCGTCAATCAGAGAGCAGTGAATTATCGATCGGATCAAGGACGCGTAAAACACGTGAGAGCAGTCTTGAGTTCTGATTGGTCCTGCTTTACGCCTAGCCCAGACAGTTAAGTCCAGAACATCAATCTCAGACTCTGCAATATGAATCCTTATATTCCAAACATACTGAGTTTATATACTAATCAAACAGACCAAAACGTAGCATAAAATTGAAAATAAAAATTGTACAAGATTTGGCCAAATGTGGCTGTGAATGTGAGAGGCAGTGATCAATAGACAAGGCATAATTCAAGAATGGTAAGAAGTATAATTATGGTTCATAGGTCGAAATAAAGCTTGTAGCGGTAAATAATTTCCCAAACTAAATAGCTCTGTAAGTTTTCGACATTGGATGCTGACCATATGTTTTAGTGGACTCACCTAGCTGAAGGTGCTCGGTCATGCATCCGCACCAGATCACATGTGGTAACGCTATGCTCAACATCTACCGCAATCGCTAGCCAGATTAGATCAGAGAATTCCGATACATTGGTTATCGCCAAATACACACTTCCGATGTCCTCGACTCTGTCTTTTGATTTCTCTCGGTGGGAACAAATTATGTTAGGTGTTACTGGTAGAAGCGTTGTCAAACAGTGAATACCTGTATCATCTTCAAGCTTATGATAAGAGAGACATGAATATGGATAGCTTAGTTCATTAACAATTATACGATAAAAATATACGTATAGTATTTGGTCCACAAATGGATCCCAAAATTACCATTCATAATGCTTATCAAGACCTAATGATGCATGAACGAATGTGCTGTATTTGGAATTCGAAATCAAACATTCAATAAATACAACGGAATAATTAGTTCGTTCAAACAAATACACATCTAATGTAATCTAGTGAATCATTTTTGCTATGGAAATATTTTATGATTATTTTATAGTTGTATTTTATAACGGATTGATAGGATAAAGTTTTTAGTTCTATATTATAATGATTATCTGTGGTGTTTGAATTGACTAATGATACTTTTGTACATGTTGATGGCTCGATTTCGAATTCCAAATACGGTACGTTCGTTTGTGCTTGTGTCTTCTTAATTCAATTGCGTTATTTCTTGGACCCTTAGTTAGTGCTATAATTCAAATAATTCGAAACATTATTTATCATAGTTAACTTTACTGTTCGAAGAATGATTGCTCATTTGATGATTCATCCTTACTAATGTTGCCTTATATTTTTCAGATTATTATACGCTATTATCATTATTTTGGTTCACAAGTTCTTGTAAAAGTTGGCATGGTTTTCTGGCAGTTTTTCTGTTCCTAATTGTTATAAGTTGGCGTACCATTAAATACATGGGGAACTAAACAGTTGTCTTGTTCTGATTTTATAATGTTCAGTGCCCTACAGCCACAAAAGCACAGAGAAGCAAATCCATGATCTTCAGGTTCGGGTATGACGGTTTAGGATTTAGGCAGCTAGGTTTGATTTTACAGCTATTTATTTTACAAGTACTATCAATTCGTGTATGAAATGATATATAACGAAATAGGAATAACCCCAGTAAATCTAGAATCTCAACAAGAACTTAAATTCGAAGTACGCAGCATAATGCTGTATTATAATACTATGACAGATTTGAACACATCAGAAATATTTGACTTTACAATAAGTCGATTGGTTATTTATCACAATCAGGGCCCCAAAATGTTTGAAAACAATGAAAATATCTACTACAAGACCAAAAAGTGAATTTTAGATTATAACTCACCTGCTCCTAAAGCAAATTTTGTGTTTAGGTACTTTATGTCGCTCATTGAGTAATCAAAAGTGGTAATTGAAACAGCGTAAGGGTTCTTCTTTCTAACTCTCACTCTAAATCCAAACACTTTCTCCAATTTGTGAACAGGTAAGTGTCAAGGAATTGCAGTACAGATGACGTTATAACGAGAGACCCGGATAGAGGAAAATTAATTAAATTACGTAAAATTATGAAAACAATACATTTTAATACACCATTCCCACATCTTTCTTGAGATTTCCTCTACAAACTGTAGTGACCTTGGACCCTAACCACATGACTTTTGAAGCTCAGAATATAATTACTGAAAAGACATATTCAACAACTGACACGAAGAGAAGCTTAGCTATGGAGAACGCGGGGACATTATTTTAATTCATTCGATGGCATGGCTCAGTCTTGCAGGCGTAGTCATTCTTGTGTGAATTATCTCTTTTATTTATTATAAACATATTGTTATTTCTCCAGCCTAAATATGTTCTCCATCATATATTGATGACTATTACGATAGGACGAGTCGGTGTAGTCAATGATGTTACTTCCACGTACAATCTTATAGATTGGCTAGTCACATAACAGATCTTCAATTTTAGCATTACGTTTATTATCAGAGCAGTACTAATAAGGAAGTAGACCATAATTCTACAAATCTTCATCGTTTTTCCATTCATATTGTCATCCCTATTTCTATGTTTTTCTTCCTCTTCTGCTGGTAAGGATTCTACTTCCGATTCCTGCTACATACTGCTTATATCTGGTTTGACAAGTAGTAATTGCCACAATACCGGTTCGTGTTGAAAAGTTCGGCTCTAATTTTTAAGCCTGAGTCAAAACTCTCGTCTTACTCTTGATAAATGACTCCTTACCTTTTGCACTATGATATCACCTGGTGACGAAAGCTCTGTTGGGTGATAACTCTAACTTGAAATGGCTGTCAAACTCCCAATACTCATGTGAGCTTTCGAGAACACAGGTGGTCTTGCATTTATGATTTTTAGTGTATTTTGGTTACGAGTGGTTCAGTTCAGGGTACTTTTCCAGCATCCGTTGAAGGTATGGATCGATCATTTGCTTAGCAATGACCGGGGATAACCTACCAACAGAAAATGAAGTTCCACAAACAGTTAATTTAGTAATCCTATCCACTAACCTCCGTTTCCAAGTGTCGATGAGTAGATTATAGCATTGCGGCATGTCTATATCAATGGTTGGCGTACAGAAATATACAACGATGAAAATATAGTTGACGGGTTTCCGTAAACCTACTTCAAAATGAACATATCGCTAACCGTATATCCCCATTTACCACCTATAAGTTCAAGAGCGGTTCATGCAGACGGTCGTTAGAATTTGCTGGAAGAACGTTCACTTCTGAGTCAGTGCCAGAGAGATAGTGGACTTACATCACCACATCGGCGGTGCACAATAGACGTCTATTTCCGCCGGCTACGGTTGCTTACACAGGAACTGTTCGAACAGGCCATCATCAAATGTCCATTGATCAATGACCTCTCGCATACATAGCAACATTTCTGTTGCTGAATCGTATTGCAGCTCAATGTTGTGGAAGAGTTGGTTTAAAAATTGTCGGTTAGTCAGGTCTCAACGATTAAGGATAGCCTTCTTCAAAGTGTTGTAAGTTTCAGAAACATTAATTATTAACATAGCGAGTGTGACGTACCTGCTAGAATCGCGAGGTAATGCCATCACTAATGTGAGGAATCTAGCACATGGGCCCGTCACGCCGTGCTCGCGGAAGTCAGCTTCTGCGTGATAGAACGAGGCCTGCGTACTGTCATGACATTCTGGTATGACAGGTGGAAGGTGAAATAGTCTTAATCTTACATAACTTTGCTGTTTGTACTGTCATAATGACGATAAGATATGGGCGAAAACATGTCCGAAAATGTAAAACATTATTACTACATGCAAAACTAAAAATGATGTATAATTTCACAGCAAGGAACAGAAGCACAGTTTACTGTTCGGTGTATCAGATCACACTGAGCTCACCACCAAAGATGCCACAGCTATTCGCAGTTGGACAACGAATTTACATGCAACACTTTTATGATTGAAGTATACCAACCCAGTCAGATCAGATGTCAGAAATTAAGAGGTCCGAAGATATGTTTGAAAGGCTGTCGATTTGTCGAGAAGCGTTTGGTCTAAGCTGGCTGTCGGTTGCAAGTGATGCGTAGCACGTGTACACATTCGTGATCTAGTGCGGATGAGTGACCGAGCTCCTCCATCTATGTGTCCAGTAGAACTAACGAGGTCATAATCAATGTCGAAAACTCATGGAACTATTTGTTTTGAGGATTAATTTACCGCTACAGACTTCTTGGTTTGCTAAAACCTGTAAGTTTCATACCAGCCAAATTCGGGATAAAATGGATGAATGTAAGTGCGTTTTTTGTCTGTCTTCACGGTACGAAATATCAAACATATGAGTCCACTTTCACATTTTATTATGACTATTTTCATCAGTGCATTGATATGTTACACTCTACGGTGGTTCAAACCTGTAAACTAGTGAAAGATCGAACCTTATCAGTTTATTGATAGTGTAAGTTTATATATGCATTCAATACACAAATAGAGTAGTATTTTGTTGCTTGATTATTCTAGACGATGAATGGAGACCGAGGGTTGTAGGTTGTTGTAAAGTGATATGATCAACTGATTTGGACGACCTTGTATGGTCGACCGTAACAAGTGGCGGGTCATTACCTCTTGTATTCATGATTGTTTGGGCAAAGTGTCTGGGTAAAAGTAACGTCTTCCCATTAACGTAAGCTCCATTCAAGCTTTTTATATCAAAGCCGTAGATTTCCCTGCAGATGTAACGCCAATCGGGCAATTTTATGCCGTACCAAACGACGAATATATGGACGTACATATCCAGTTAGCTTAGTTTATCCTAACGGTGGTTCGATCCGTATTAGATTTCATGAGCCTCGAATAATACTTCAGGTTAGTGCTCTTAAAATCGTCATAAAGTATGTTTATGCGTTTCATCTTGAAATCCGTTTTCCGTTGTACAATTAAGTTAAACTTGAAAAAAATAAACAGTGATGTATAGTCGATAAGCTGTTACTTTCCATAGGTCCTGAGGTAACTGTCATCGCAGTAACCCCTTATCTCAGACTTCATATATCCTGTAATTTAAACTTAAAGCTGATACAGTTTCCAAACATGCATCAATAAGATCCTATCAATTTCAATGCAATGTCTGTGGTCATAAACTTTGAACGTAAACACCTTAGATAATCTTCAAAGTGTACAGTAGTGTGTTATTTAACTTATAAAATTATCTTTTACCAAGAACCTGGCTTATAAGAATTCTAGTTGTGTTCACCTTTCGTATGTCTATTAAATAGTCGCAAGAATATTGAAGATTACCAGACTTACTCGTATTCTAACTTGAAATTTCAAGTGACATTTATGTGTTTGGAAAGCAAACTGTCTTAACAATCAAGTGTCTTCCAGTTCTTTACCTAAATGAATAGTACATTAGTTTGTAGTATTAAATGACTGTTATGGAGCATTGTAGACACAGTATTATTTTTCAACCCACTTTTTATTTACCACCGGGTTCTGTGTACATGTAAATGGCCCAAACTTTACACCAATACCAACCATGAATTTATAACCAAAAGTTGAAACTGAAGAATCATTAGCGTAGAACTTGAAGTTCAAGCTGCAGTGATGTAAATATTAACACACCATATAGTGAAACTCTCACAAAAGAGTAAACATCAGCTTCACTTTTTGAGTAATACCTTATAAATTTATAAGTGTTCTGCCGTTCAGCAGTTCAGAAAAATGACCAAATAGATCTAAGTTAAATGAACTAAAGAAAGTCAGCATTATTGACAGAATTCTCATGATAAAATTGTTTATTCATTAAATAGCTAACAGGTCCTTGCACTAGCTGCCGAAAATCAATAAAATTGAGATCTAACCTAAGAAAGTCTTCTGATGCAGTGTACTTCCCACTGACATGTGATTATGTATCTTAACATGTTGGCAATCGAAAACCAGAACTTTATTATTGAGTCACTACTAGAGATTTAGTGTCAAGATTTAATTACATGCCCTCTGGTTGTCACTGTATCAATAACGCTAATGTGGACGTGTGGTTTATAATTTGGAGTTATTGTCCTAAACCTTTTTAACATTACTGTAAAACATTTAGTATTTGTTTCACTCAATCTTCTTCAGATCCCTCCAGATTTAAATGACTGTTCTCCAGAAGAAAGACAGAAACGTCTTCTTAGACGCGCTCCTCAATCAAGGTTGACTTTGCAAGAACAAATAGAAGACACTTTTGACCAAGAAGCTTACAGTTTTCTCTTGAAGAAAAATTGATTCCTCACTCCCTGTACATAAACTTCAATTTTAGTAATAAATTATATTGATTTATCCTCTTTATTTCCCTATAAAATATGTATCATGTCGTATCTCGTGAGTGTGCTGAAGAACTACCTAATCAGTTTCTATATACATAAATATAATCTATCGTAGACCTGCCATATCTAAGTCAATTACTTTTAGGTATTTCTCTGGGTATACATAAGTCATGAATAATAAATGTGACAGGAAAACCTGTACTATTTCATCCATTTCCGAATCGTTGTCCCAGGTAATAGCACGTTCACACCGAGTTATAATAATTATCTTGTTAAGGTTTTAAACGTAATACTCAAGCGTCTTTTCACATATTACATCCACTCTGCTTGCAGATGGAATTCAGCCAATCTTATGCCATTGGTTTTGTTTGCTAAGATAGCAAACTTTTAGGAACATTTCTCCCTATTCGACTTACCAGGAATCGGCCTTGTATCGGGAAGTTCGCTTGTTAGCTTAAGATTCGCAGGTGATATAGTTCTGTTTGGTAAAGACTGACAAAATACAGTTTTCCGACCACTTTAAACAACAATACAATCATGTTTGGGATACGTTTCTCTCCAATGTTCATAGGTACGGCATGTGCTTTGCACCTTCGAAGTGCAAAGTACTTCTACCAGATTGGCAGGATTTTAATCCTGTACTCACCCTGGATGGTGAGCAGATAGAATTAGTTGGGAAGTTCGTGTATATAGGTAGCTGCATAATTGCTGGTGGTGGCGTGAGTGATAAGATCAATGCAAGTATAGTGAAAGCCAGAGTGGCTTATGCCAATCTGAGCCATCTTTGACGCCTTCGTGATGTCAGTCTGGCTGTAAAAGGTTGGATCTACAACGCGTCGGTGAGAGCAGTTTTGCTCTATACTTGTGAAACCTCGGAAGTTGAGTGCTACCACTGAATACGAATTCTCAACCGGCTATTCTGAAACCGCGCATGTTATTCAAACTGACCTCACTTAACGTTCGCTCACGAATACCGACTGGACAAGAGATAGGGTTGGCTATGTGTTAAGAAAGTCTCAACATTGATGTCTGTTATCTGTCTGGTGTCCGTATTCAGGACTCTAGTGAAGTGATACACGCTCGCTCTCCATTTGTCGCTTCGAACGCTTGTTTCGTATGCGTTTATTTGGAGATTCTGTGTTATCTCCATCTGGTTTTGCTGGCGTTGGTGTCCCACTGAGCGCAAGAGCTGAAGCAGAACTGACCGATTGGATCCCTATTAATCTTCGGTTGTGTACTGTTAGGTTAGAAAGTTCCACCAAAGGGAGAAGAAATGTGTATGGTAAACGATGATTTTGGCTATCTCCGCCTATACCCTGACATTTTGCTGCCAAGATTCCACCAATGATGACCTCCATGAGGTGTGTTTGATTGATATTGCAGTACTAGCTGGAGATTTGAATGTGCAGGTCGGGTGTTTAGGTTTAAAGGAGATTCGTTTGTGTTGCTAATGTGGACTTGTTGGTTGCAGATCAGACAACGTTGACCGTCTATCACAACTTCGCGCGGACTTGAGATGGTGTATAATATTCAGAGCTCAGGTGGATAATTTAGGTTTGGTTGTGAAGGTTTCACTGTTCGTCTGAACAACATTATCAATACAATTTAGTTTGAAAATTTTTGAAACTATGGTCCATTTCAATACTAGTACAGTTTGAACGTTTAAGCATGTTGTCGTATAGTATTCATGATAGCTATCAGATAACACGGAGATTTTCATAATAATCAAACATTTTGTGCGTAATATTTCTAGTATTAACTCATCGAACATGTGGTTATAAAGATATGACGGATGTAACAGTGAGATCTTTCGACAGTCTGTTTTCAAAGGTCATTTTTATTTTTATGAAATAATTTGATAAAGTGTGGTTAAATCTAGCGTAAAACTTTAGAAAATGAGTACTCATCTTTGTATAATGTTATAGTTTTCACACCAAGTGGAGTGCTTACACTTCATTTTAAGTAGACTGAAGCAATATCTAGCTTTGGATATGATTTTAACTGGTAGACAAGCAAAGTAAATTTGGGATCAGACAGATGAGTACAGGGTCGATAACAGTTGTTTTAATCTATATAGGTTGTTCTATAATTTCTTATGTTTACTATGTGAAAATAGGATTTAGTAATGTGATGTGACCCAAAATCGATAATTCTGTTACTCAGTCATCTATTGTTAACTCTTTATGAGATTTTAGACGTACTATTATATGACCTTCACATAACATACTTTGGCTATTTTTTTCTGATGGTGCTATCCGTCATCTTTATCGTCCGTCATATTGTTGTGGTGTTTGTTAATCTCAGTCCATTTAGTGCTGCAATATATCTGTATAATGTTTTGACAGAATTATGTTGTTGTTTGCACGAGGTACTGTTTTTGAAAAGGGACGTAATGATGTGACACAAGTGTGACAGTGATTTAATGTGAAGAAATTAATAATTTACCACTTTCAAGCATGAGACTGTGTTTTTTTTAAGCAAATTTTATTATAAAGTCTTAAATATCTGTAATCCAGCTATTCAGCGTCGATGCTTATCATTTTCAAGTCTATTAAGTAATCAATTCATTCAATAGAGATAATTTTGTAAGCTTTTATTTGATTGACCTATAATAATTCTAATGAATACTTGATTAAAATCTACTGTGATTACGTCATATGATTAAAGACAAATACACCAAGTCAAAGTAATACACAGATGTATCTATATACTTGTGTATTTACATGATTGGATTTAACAAAGAAATTAAACGCCTACATATATACATCGGTGCACTGAGATATTAAGTAATTAAACGATCAATACTGTCACTTGATCAAACATTCTGAAAAGTATTAAATTTTACAAAAATTAGTCGTTGTTATGTATAGTCATAAATAATTAGTAATACCATGGATTATGGAAAACTGAGGATTATTCAATGAGAAGTACAGATAAATTCTTACATTATCAATCAATTAAATAATTTCAACACAGATATTTACTTTTCACTTATCCCCTTTCTATTCAATGCCTGAATATATGAAATTGACTTGTCGTACAGATTCACTCATTCAACCAGAATCCAATGGAACTAAAGAGAACAATGAACCTTCTTGCACTGTTTTACTATCACCATCTTTATCATCAAAATCTTCTTCATACAAACATATATATTTAATCTATTCTATTTTAATATTTATTTTAGTAGTTATTATACCATTAATGTTAAAAATGACATTATATGGTGAACCAAGCTTTTATTCACTTTTCCCAATCTATTCAATACTTTTCTCATGTACAACAATATTTGAAGTTATCAAACGTCTTCGTACATTACAACATGAAATGAATGAAGACAATGCACCAGCGGAAGTGTATTTTTCTTGAAAAGAAGTTCATAAATCAACATAAACTTCATAATTATGTACATTTTTCATTCTATAGTATTTATTTATTGAGTTCAATACTTCCAATATTCGATATGATTAAAATGCCTATTATAATTCCAGAATTGTCGTTTCCATCATCGTGCTTACATGTACATCAAACCTCCAAATTGAAAAAAAATTCTCAATTTACTCTCTTTTCATTCTTTTGTTGTTGGAAAAAAATGGATAATTTTTTTGTTGTGAGTAAATAAATGAAAAGCATTTATCTATTCAACCATTATTCAACTATTCAATAGATCAGATATTATCGATATGTCTGTTGATTTAAACAAAACTAATACATTTATAATATAAAGACGTTATATTCAGATTTATGTACCCATTTATTTCACTATTATATGTGCTGAGATTCATTTATAAATTGTTCTTTCATGTTTTATCCAACAACAAAAAAACAGTCACATTTTGAATGCATAAAAGATAATCCATTTTGTTTTAATTCCTAATAACTAATTTTGTGGTAAGTTATATGTGATTATGTTGTTATCAGGATACATTATATATACATATATATATAAAACAATAACAATTTTAATAATAAACTGATATTTGTTTCAAAAAAGTAATTGATGAGAGACCAATTAGTGTGAAATGTTTATTTTGTTTTGGCATGGGACTTTACATTAGAGTACTAACAACGATTAATGGTTAGAATATTCAGTAGATTGAACTGATGTATTTTTTTTTGTAATTGTCAAACATTGAAATGTTATTAACACTACAATCTAGATATCGAATTCTACAAAAAGAATATGTGATATAATGTACTAAAAGTTGAATATGAATCCATCTCATCATGAAGAGCATGAAATGAACTGATTTTTTATTCATATTTATATAGATCATAAAATATCAATTCTCACTGTAAGTAATTTCTAGTACCGAATGACAGTTCTATGTGTATATATGCTAGTTTACAGTAGCTATTCATATAACATACCGTTTAAGCTATATATTTTAAAAAATATTTTTCATAATCGATATGAAGTTTAGTGGCTTATGTTTAATTAAATAACTCCTTTTTAACACCATTATTTCATAGTTATTTTAATTGACTATTAGATTTGCATTACATTCACGCTTGTGTTGTAGAATGGTATATCTTAAATGATTATTGAAGGTTATTAGATCAACCCGTTACTTATTTGTTAATGAACGCCGGAAAGATTCGTTTACTTAACATTTTCTACAAACTGATATGAAACTGGGGGGGGGGTAGCACATTCTTCAATGAATAGACGTGAAAATTATCATCTATCATTAATTATGTAAGCGTTTTTTTTAATTAAAAAAAGAGGTACTGATATTTCCACTTGTTAACCCGAATAGTTCGAAGTGTGTAGTATTTCTGAAAGTCTTAAACTCAAATGAAGCAGCTATCAATTGCTTCTTGATCCCAATAAAATTGATAATAACATAATAAGCTAATAAATTTTGACTTGAAATATTTCCTATCGATTGCCATTTTTTTCCCAATTAGCTGATTGTAATACCAGAAATCTATCGACTGGAAATTACGAATTGTACC